TTATGTCACCACCATGCACAACGACGTCTGACGCTGTAGAAGGACACCTAGAACGTCATAGAAACTGACCTTGACAGATTCACAGCTACAGTCAGTTGGGGCGTAGGCAGACACAATGAACAAGGTGCGATAAATCTCACTTTCTCTAGCTCCTCTCACTGATGTCAAACAAACCGCGCAGAGGTGGCTATCAACAGGTAGAGGGAGAGAGAGAAAGGGAGAAGCTTTCGCTCGGTCGCTCAATAAAATACGCACCCTGGCATATCTAGCTGCAGTAGCCTCTACATCACCAGAGGTGCGCAGCCGGAACCTAGAAGAGATGGATGGAGCAGTCAGTTCAATTTACGCTACTTGCGTCCTGTATCCTTGTTTCTGACAGACAGCATACAACAATACGGAGGGAGCGCGCAAGTTCCTTGTTTCTGACAGACAGCATACAACAATACGGAGGGAGTAAGCGCGCAAGTTTGCTTCACTCTGCGAACATTGAAGACAGTTTTTGGGATGCGAAAACATAATTCGAAGCATTTAGGGTTGTACAGATGTACAGCCAGATGTACGGAAGCAACAACTGAGTGTGACGCACGGTGAACAAAGCGGCCAATTCTAGTGCTGACACCCGCGGAGAGAGCCTTTTAACTTGGGCGGGGTGGGTTAGGGTAGAAGGGAGGCTTCAGCAGTAGTCTGTTTTCGCTTACCCATCCCGCAGTATGCATCCAGTATGGCGACCCGGATAATGACAACATGTGATAGACGATTTGGCATAAGAGTATTATTAGTTATGGGTATCACGATTGTACGTCGGTATACTGTCGGGGCGCCCAGACCTAGACGGAAGGATCATTAGGATCCTCGATTACAGCCCTTGGCTCAAAAGCCTGTCCGAAAGGCGGCGGCATTTGGCGGGGAACGCAAATGCATTAATATTTTTATACAAGCCACCATATATGTTCTAACCCCAAATCCGGAGGTGCAGAAGACTGTTCTGGTAGATATCTAACCACTGACCAACTCGGTATGAGAGACACTGTGAGTGTGCCACAGACACCGCCCAATATAGTTCAATGGGTCAGAGAGGCACACAATTCGTCAAACCACTGCAGGGTTTAGCCTCTTAGTGACAGATTAACAGAACCGAGAAATCGCACCAGAAAACGAAAGCCTGGATCGATGATGTGGATTTTTGGTAAAATAGTTGTCCACCAGCTTGGGTGATCAAGCAACGATGTTTTGTTGACTCTTTTTGTCGTCAAATGCTGAGAATTCCCGAAAATACCAGTTGAAAGGACTCAAACTAGGATCTTCATACCGTGTATTAAACTTCTGTCACCAGTGGCCTTAAGGTGGTCTAAATGCTTACTGAACAAAACACAAAGTACACGGAGAAGGCCTGAATAAGAAATGTCGGCCATGACATGGATATCGTAAACCATAACACCACTGTAACCGAGCTTATATTTCAGACGTTTGTGAAACCAGTTGCAACCAGAAAGCAACAGGTAGAGCTGGGAAAGGCGTTCGGAACAGTGCACGCCCATAGATATTTGCGAAGAGGGACTAGTGGAGGCCTCATGATTTGTAAATTGCCACACAAAGGACTACGCGACTGATCCATTCACAGCTACCCGTTTTACTCTGGTTAGAGTCGGAGCTCAAAATAACTATTTAGGATAAGCTCATCGATTATTTATGAGCTGGCTCGCCTGAAAATCTAACCTGATGATCTATACAAACAGCACTGAAAAGTGATGATGGTTTCAAGATGTAACAGGGGTACTTGGGCCTGGCTATACAAATAACAGTATAGACCAAGTTGTGTGACTAGGTGGTCCACAGAGCAAGTCCGTGAATTTGGCATCATCAGTACAACAGGCATGCCAGCTAACTCATATGGATTAACCTATCCATAGACAAACTAGTCACGAAGTGAATACGGATAACGATGTCCGAAGAGAAACTCTCCAGATGATGTTTTCCCAGAAAAATATACAAATCATAATGCGGTCAGGCTTATAGTTGTCTCGACTCGTTTTCCGGGTGTGAAGTCTGACCGGTGAACTCTGAGAATTATTCTTACAATCACATTCCCTGTTGTTGATGCACTGGTCAGGACTTCATCCGAAAGTCGAATAATGGCATGACAAGATTAAAAGACTTCTGCCCATACTATTTTGAGGGGAGAGTTTTGGAATTCGGGGAAGGTGGAGAATAGCAGGATTAGAAGCGGTCATCGCTGATGACAGAATTGCTGTAACCCTAAGGCATCCGCGAAGGCAAAATGCGTGATGCTAATAAAGTCAACACATCGTTCACAGCACATGAATAAGCACTAAGTAAGGTTTGGCAATCTGGTTTGTCATTTTGAAAATCTTCGAGATGAGTATCGGTAATTATGTGAAAGTTGTAAGGCTAAAAAACAAATAGGTCACTTGAAATTTTAAATGGGGTGAAGTAGATTTAAAACAGGGACCCGGGAACCCGGAAGAGGACAACAATGACATACCGTAAGGTAGACCGGCAATATCGATCCCACGAGCAGCCACATCGGTACAGATAAGAAATCGAACATCACCATTCTATAGAAAAAGAAGATGGAGGATGCACAAACGATAAAGCTGGAGGGACAAACATCGGTATAACCTGAGAAGTAGTACCATCGGTCCGTGTAGCAATCCGCAGACAGGACAGATGGAATACGGCCGGCCGGCGTGGGAAAACTTTCAGAAAAGCAGCATAGATGACTCAACCAAATGATTCGGCGTTGGATTACTGTGTAATGAGAAGTTCCATAACATTATTAGAGGGCATGAGAAAAATAAATGCCTCAGAAAATTTAAGCCGAACCCTACTTCCGCGAAGAACATAGATGCCAATGTGTTGTTCTGTGAGTGTTGTCCTGACCGTTTGACCAACTAGTTTTTCCTGTCATCTATCACAGACGTACTTTCCAAGCAGACACGAGTACTAACAGTGAGTGTTAACTGCTTTTCAAGTATCATAACCTATGGATGGCTAGTAATGCACCGGAAAGACGTTTTCATAACAGTACGCGATTAGCCGGACACGAAAAAGTTTAGCGCGTAGACCTAAGACCAACTCTGGGAATGGATGAGCTTGGTGAAGTACGATTAAACAGTTGGCCTCTAGTGTTGGTAGAATAAATGGCGCGGGAGTGCAGAATCAACCCATGCTGAAAAAAACGCTAGCTGTTTACTAGTCATATAGGTGTTACGGATTTCCTTCTAGTGTACAACTGAGCCAGCCGAATACCATATGTTGGACATAAAAATTGATTGAGGGTAACATCCGTACTTACGTGCTTGTCATCGCCTGTTTCCAGCCTTAAGCGATCTTAAACTCAAGTGCTTGGACTGAGTGTCCAGAAGACTAACAAGTACAAGACGGTCAAAGACGCTGTTTCATGTCAGTTGTATCACAACATCCCCTTTAGTTCAGATGCCGTGGACAGAGCAATGCGAAGCAATGCCAACTAACTACATAGAAGAGTGTGTGGTACCAAAGCCCCACTGGTTTGGTGATGACCGCTCAGACTGAAAGGGGTAAAGCACATAGGGGGCGATACTCATGGCCTCGAATCCAAAGAGTAACAACTCATTAGTTGCCAGGAAAAAAGCACCATAGTAGTGGAAGATAGGTCTCCAAAATACTGATGTCAGAGAGCGGACAAATAACGCTGGCAAATAGTGGAAGTCCGGAGGCCCGAAAAGAATTGTGTTGCGGGAAATAGACCCATGCTATTTCGAACGGCTGAGCAAAAAAAGATAGGACTAGCAATTCAACCAGAGAAAAACTTGTTTGAAGGCTGGCCTTTCCGGACTACACACACCAGAGTTCCACGAGAAACAGGTTTTGGTACTCAGGTGAGACAACCCTAAGAGACTTGCACTCGTATTGTTAGAAAGTTAGGAGCCTTTGTGATCGCTTCACAATACCACTATCAAAAAAACCCACCCAATTCGAACTGGAAATAAGTAGAAGCACATAGTGTGAAACTATCATGACATGGACCTAGTAGCCCCAGTGTCTGAGGTGTCCATTGACCCTACCCCTAAGAGGATTTATCGATTTTTCTTCATAGCAGTTGGCTTTCTAATTCTTGAATGAAAGGGAACAAATGAAGCCTACTAATTTATCTACTTGGGAGGGGCTGTTATCAAGGATAGGTTGCCAAAAAATCAAGCTACCGACTACCAGCATGAGGCCTATTTACAAACATACACCCTTAGCGCTGACCAACAACAGTTAATACGAATCAGCTATCAGATGCACTGAATAAGTTTCTCAACATCATGGAGAGTCGTCGCATGTCCACCTATTAAATTTTGTGTATGCAAGGCTAGATGAAGAACTGCACATCCAGTATATATGTGGCATCCATGTAGATTTGTATCAAGAAATGAAGACTGATTTTCGGTGATTTTCCATACGAGTGACGGCTAATATTTTCGCAGAACGCCATGCCCAACACTGGACATCTTTGCTATCTTGAAACAAGGCACGATAACCACAAAATAGCGCTTCCCTAGCGATTATATGCGTTTGATTATACTGGATACTCTTTGCCGTCCAACCGCGCCAACTGCCAGTAAATTAGCGCCCTGCAAAAGTAGTGTCGTTGCTTTCGAGACACGTCACTACTCCGGCATCAAAACTATCCGTGTGAGGTAAGGTGTAATGGTGTAATTCTACGACACACGGAAATATGGACGTCAGCATCCTCAAAAAGAACACTCATTTCGAAGCGTAGCCAGAAAGTGGTGGTAAACTACCACAACAATCAAGTTTCGTGCCGGATAGAGTGCCAAATACATGGAATAACCAGCGGCACTACTTAAGGACGGTGGCGAGTCTTTGTTCTGTCATAACTAGACTGTTTAGACATATTTAGGAACACGGACGTATTGCAGACAACTAAGGCCAATCAAACAGCACAATTCCATTCAAGAACAGCATAGGATACGACTGTTTCAACTACAACCTGTCATGGTGGGACCACTGCATTCAGCCGCCTAACTCCAGCAAATGAGACAACTACAAGAACATTAAGCAGGATCTCATTTGGGTAGGTGACCATTATACTACGTCCAATGCTTGAGCTACGTCATACATATCAACGGCCGATGATTTTCGTTCTCCTTGTTGAGAGGAATGCTCCCAAAGTTCGTAAGTTATGTGAGAGCTTACAGCGGGCTGCCCAAATGTTTTCCTACAACCAATAAGTTGCAAGACTGTTTCTCTCGTTCTCCTTTTCAATTAAATCTTGTCACATTTTGAGGGATTAAAAACCTCGGCACCGAAATGGCACATACAGATGGACTAATAGGCTTGTGTTACACGGACGATATTGTCATGTGGCGCATAGGCAAGTACTTGGTAATGAACCAGAATAAGTAATGCAGTAAATAAAGACTATGAGAATGACGGACATGTACAACGCAACCCTAAACGCCATACAACAAAGAAACTAGTGTTTACTGCTCCGAACTGTTGTTGGCGAAAAGCTGGCGTAGGGCAGGTCATGAACTGGCAACCCGAAATGGATGCAGTTACTGTCAGACTCAGTGATGCAGCTTATT